AGATACTACTGTATATGTATTTGTGGGATTGGAGAATGAGTAGACCAGAGTTAAAGATGATAGTTACTTGTTGTTGATTTTTACAATCTGGGAACGGATTATAGTACACAACGATGTGTGGCATACAGCTTATTAAATATGGTATAGCTGATGATTGAATGTACAGCAATAAAATGAGGTCTCTATCCCTGTGATATGTGCACAAATTGCACAATGTACATTAACCTTTATTTTGGTTTTCTATAATACCATAATTCATATTCTGACAGGGCAGCACTATTTTCCAACTTTAATAAATAACACTTGTTAAGTTATTTTCAAGATCAGCATTACTGTTAGGAGCCATTAATGGTTTTTTTAAATGCTATAAATCCCTATGAAACCAAAAGCTGTGGTAGTTTGAGCATTAAACTCCTAAGGGAAACAAACCTATTGTTATCAACTAGTAATGACTGATTTACGAAGATTGTAAAGGAACTGCTGCTTAATTAAATCATGTTCATGTGGTATAAAGATAAGACAGAATCTGTTTTGTTAAAGCCAGTTTTATACAGTAAAGTCTTTAGTAAGCATTCTCAATCTTTGTGTATTGACATTTAATATAAAACAGTTGTGTCCCGATGCATGTTTTCATTTTTAAACATCAATGAGTACCCAAGACAATAGATGCGTGTAAAACTTTTGCTTCTGGCAGTACTGGATGCCCCCAGGCCCTCCAACTATGTATGGGGCACAGATGACACTGAAAAACATATCAAATTATTTCTCTTTCCACACTCGTGACTGACCTTTCAGAGGTATGGATGTCTCAAATCTGTGTACATCACAAATGGGAATTTTCATGCAATTTAAAATCCCTTTTTCATGTACAGCCCAGTTACTGTTTACATAATCTTTACATTTATTTATTTCAGGTACTTATATAGCACCACCAATTACGCAGCGCATTTACATATATATTATACATTCACATCAGTCCCTAACCCTCAAGGGGTGTACAATCTAAGGTCCCTAACTTATATTCATACATACATACTATGGACAATTTAGACAGGAGCCAATTCACCTACCAGCATGTCTTTGGAGTGTGGGAGGAAACCGGAGAACCCGGAGGAAACCCACGCAGGCACAGGGAGAACATGCAAACTCCAGGCAGGTGGTGCCATGGCTGGGATTCGAACCAACGACCCTAGTGCTGCCAGGCGGAAGTGCTAACCATTTAGCCACTGTGCTGCCCATACTTTACATCACATTATCCACCAGCTAGTTTAAAGTGTTACTAAACCCACAACAGTAAAATCAGTCTGTATATGCAGTAAAGCATGCTTGTTATACTCACTGTGGAACCTAAGGGGTTAATCCTCTGCATTGCACAAAAAGGACGTTTGATCCTGACTTCTCTGATCCTCCCTTTCTTCCAGTGTCCCCCTCTTATCTCCTGATATGACATATCATGTGCAGACACTCTGCACATGCTCAGTTTGGTGTGTATTGCTAGAGAGGTTTTTTTTTTTTCTTGGGAGAGTGCATGTGATCAGCACAGGGCCAATCAGCACTGTCCAGACAGAAGGGCTCTGCAACCTCCTAGAGCAAAATAAAAACTCCTCCTACAGGCTTTAACATGTGCTCGGCTGGACACTGAGAGAAGTCACAAGACTGCTATAAACTGGTGATGAGAAAAGGTATTTAGCAGTTTATATTTACTAAAATAATTGCACTTCCATGTGCTGTGTACTGTGGGAGACCAGATATAGTGCATGCAGGGTCCTGGGTTTAGAAACACTTTAATATAAGACCTTTTTGTTCCTAACAGATCTCACACATGGGAACTGGAGTACCATTTTAACCACTTGCCCTCTAGAGGATTTACTCCCTTTCCTGACAAAGCCATTGTTTGTGATACGGCGCTGCATTACTTTAACTGACTGTTGCGCGGTCATGCAACACTATACATAAGTGAAATTTATATCCTTTTTTCCCACAAATAGAGCTTTCTTTTGGTGGTACTTGATTACCTCTGCGATTATTATTTTTTGTGCTATAAAAAAATAAGAAGACCGACAATTTTGAAAAAAAAGAAAACACAATATTTTTGACTTTTTGCTATAAAACACATCCAGTAAAAAATGTTTTTAAAAATCTAATTTCTTCTTCATAAATTTAGGCTAAAATGTATTCTGCTACATGTCTTTGCTAAAACAAATCCTAATACATGTAAATTAATTGGTTTACGTGAAAGTTTATGGTGATGTGTGGTGATGAAGTTTCTTGTGAACGAAGGCGTAAAACCAGCAGATATCTACAGAAGAATTCAAGCACAGTACAGTGATAAGATGCTCAGCCGCAGTAAGACTTCTGAATGGTGTAAAAGTTTCAAAGATGGCTGTACATCCATCAGTGACCATCTTGGCCGTGGTGGTTCCCAGACCACAGCAGACATTCTTGCGAACATTCATCATGTGGAACGCCTGATCCTAGATACAGTTGCAAGAAAAAGTATGTGAATCCCTTGGAATCACGTGGAGTTTTGCAAGAATTGGGTATAAAATGTGCCCTGAACGTCATCTAGGTCACAATAATAGAAGAACACAGTCTGCTGAACATAATACTACACAAACATTAGATGTTGCCATGGTTTAATTGCACATAACATGTAAACATTCACAGTGTAGGGAGGAAAAAGTATGTTAACCTTTGGACTTAATAACTGGTTGACTGTCCTTTGGCAGCAATAACCTCAACCAAACGTTTCCTGTAGTTGCAGATCAGACCTGCACATCGATGTGGAGTAATTTTGGGCCACTACTCTTCACAAAACTGTTTCAGTGTAGCAATATTCTTGGGATGTCTGGTGTGAATGCCACAGCATTTCAATCGGGTTGAGGTCAGGACTCTGACTGGGCCACTCCAGAAGGCGTATTCTGTGCTGTTGCAGCCATTGTTTTGTTGAATTACTTGTATGCTTTGGGTCATTGTCCTGTTGCATCACCCATCCTCTGCGGAGCTTCAGTTGGCGGACAGATGGTCGTACATTTTCCTGCAAAATGTCTGGATAAACTCTGGAATTCATTTTCCCATCAACAACTCCACGTAATCCCAAGGGGTTCCCATACTTTTTCTTGCAACTGTAATTGACACATAACCTGGTCATGAAATTGCACAAGAGACAAATCTTTCTGTGGGAATGGTGAACACAATCATTCAAAAATATTTGCATTTTCTAAACGTCAGCGCATGCTGGGTACCAAGACAGCATTCCACTTTTGACCAGCACAGGAGAGTTGAAGTCTGCACTGTGCTGAAGGAGCATTTTGAGAGAGCAGGCCAGGATTTTCTGGCTTGCATCATTCCTTGATGAAAACGACTAACTCATAATGCTCACCGCATTTGTGCACGTTACAGCAACTCGGCTAGGAGGTATTACCAAATCCCCCTTACAGCCCGAAGCAGGTGCTGATTTGCACCTTTTTGGTCCCCTAAAAGAGTTCCTCGGAGGTCAGCATTTCAGCACAAAGTGAAGCAGGCTGTCCTAGAATGATTTAGGCGTACTGACAAATCTTTCTATGCCAAAGCTTTCCAGGCATTAGTTAAATGCTGGGATAAGTGTCTAAATGTAGCAGGGGAGTATGTTGAAAAATAAATAGTTTCAACTCCCTGAAACGTAATATTTTATTATTTATTTTATATAAACTCAAAATTCCCAGTTTGACTTGAACTCCCCTCATATATATATATATATATATATATATAATAAAAGCTAGCTTGATCCTACCCCTGCTGCTTCCTGATCCCCCCAATTGGTCCTTTAATGTTATGGGGGCCATTAGTGAGCAATAGAGAGGCTAAGACGGGTCGAAGGTAGTGGGACAAAGTTACTTTTTTATGGAAAAGTTGAAATTTTCATACAAAATCAGCTCTTTGTTTCGTTGAATCTCCTGTTTCTTTTGACAAGGTTCTTAATGAAAATTATATTTGCTTACACATTTTTTCATCATACGGAGATGATGAATTGTCCAGGGTTATGAAAGGGTTAGACTGACCTATTTCTAGTCAATGAAAATATGAAGAAAAAAAATAAGCACACAATTAAGTGATAATGGGTGATTATTAATCAACGGTAGCACAGGAAGCTTTAAAGAACTGATCTATTAAAAGTATGTAAAGGAGAATCGAAGCAAAAGTAGGGCTGCTGTCAACAACAAAAACTTGCTTTAATTTCAAATGCATTTCAAGCAATATGATTGGTTGTCGTCTATGACAGCTCCACCTGTGCTCCAGTTTTCATAAAAGGGCTCCAAAAACAATTTAACAGGAAACTGTTTTGAAGAGTTTTATCTCTAATTTGGCTTTCTTCTTTTCCTTTATTTCACATATATTTTGTATTTCAGACGCAGCTCTTCAGACAACACAGCGGTAGATTTAATAACCATGTCTCTCATGGAACACACCCACTCATTGACAGTTATGTCAGCAGTAAGGCAGTAAGAAAGAGGAGTATGTAATAAAGACTGACGAAGAGTTTAATTATTAAGGGTTGAGAAGCTCCTTTGTGTCTAGGGCCCTATGGTCTTTGATCCAGCTTTGTCAGCTACAACAGCAAAGACATCAATTTCCATTGATTCTGTAAATAAAATAGTCACAGCTAAGTAAATGATATGAACATTAAATTCAAAAGTCTGAAAATACCTTTTTATTTTGCTTCCTTTACTAAACTATAGAAAAAGACTTGACCTACAAATGTAATATTTAGAATTATTGTAGAATTATTGTATGTCACATAAATGTTCCAGGTAGGGTTATATCTAGTTTAACTGCTTCCCGACCGACCGCTAGCAGAAATACTGCTATACATACGTAATTTTGCATTTCTGGGTAGGGGGCCACGCGCCCTACCCATGCCGCCATTCGCGGCCGCGGCTGTCGATCACCGGGTCCCGGCCGGTGATTACTCGCCGGCGCCTGGTGATTACTGAGAATCTCCAATGGGGAGGAGGACTGTTTTGTTTACTGACAGTTCTCTTCCCCGTCAGCTCGGGCACACTGCTTTGGATGGCTGTGCAGAGCACAGCCATCCAAACAGTGTGCTTACAGTGTGCTTACAGTGAAGCACACTGACATGGCCCCCTAGTAAAACACTCCCTGCACACAGTTAACCCTTTGATCACCCCTCATGTTAACCCCTTCCTGCCCAGTGCCATAAGTACAGTGTCAGTGCTTTTTTTTCAATGATGTATTAATGTCACTGGGGATGTCAATGACACCAAGTCAGTTCCCCCCAGTGTCAGAATGCCCCACTATAAGTCGCTGATCGCCACAATTACTAGTAAAAATAAAAATTCCAGTATCTATACCGCCATTTGTAAATTCTATAACTTTCACATAAACAAATACATTTACACATAGTATGATATTTTTTTAACAGACATGTACCAGAATACATTTTGTCCTAAATTTATGACGAGATTTTATTTTATTTTTTTTTGCTGGACATATTTCATAGCAAAAAGTCAAAAATATAATTTTTTTCTCAAAATTGTCAGACTTTTTTTTTACAGCACAAAAAATACAAAAACTGCACAGGCGATCAAATACCACCGAAAGAATGCTCAATTCAGCGGAAAAAAAAAGGACGTACATTTAATTTGGGTGCAGTGTTGCATGATCGCACAATTGTCAAAGTAACGCAGCGCCGTAACGCAAAAAATGGACTGGTCAGGAAGGGGGTGTAAATCCTCAGGAGAGCAGAACTCAAGGCAAACAAAAATATTTTCTTCGTAAACTACAGAAGACTAGACCTTCACATATAACTTTTAGAAATACTATATATCACATACAGATTCCAGGTAGGGTTATACTGTATCTATTTTAAAGCAAAAAGCAAGGCAAATAAAAATATTATCTTCCTGCACTATAGAAGACTTTACCTAATAATGTACATTTTAGAAATATGTAACATAAAGAGGGTTATATCTACTTTTCAGTAGAACTTAATGAAAAAAAGGTTTATTAATCTGCAGTCAAAATATTAGTTGTCTACTTGTTCATTAATGTCAGAAGTATAGCGAGACTGGCTTTGAGAGCTGAAGCTCTCATACATGGAGGCCCCAGTGTTTTTATTCCACCCATCGCTGCTCTTGTCCATCCATAGTACCCATTGAATTCTGTGAACAGAATACAAAGAATTCTGTGAATGGGCATGGGGAGAGGAGAGGAGGACCAATGATAATGTGGCTTCAGCTCTCCTGTTGCATTGGTCTTGAAAGAGCTATCCAGTCTGAATGAATGGGTAAATATTACAGAAATGACAAACATACTGTACTTATAGTGCCATACACCCCTTAAGACATATTACTGCAGATAAAAACAAATGCTTGACATTCTGCTTTAAGCTTTAGTTAGGTACATACATTGTACAAAGTGACATGAGATTTTCTGGGACATCTCATGTGTATTACAGACTACTCATTTCATCCTGTACTAGATGCACTGGACATACAGTATATGACTGCTGACTCACTTCTCTCGGAATGCAAGCCATCAGTTCTGTCTGAAAATAAATTTAGATTGAACAAAAGACAAAAGAAAATGATGACCTCAACTGTTAACATCATCCTAATTCTCAGGGCAGTTTGCTGCTTTTCCAGAACCTGTTGTCAAGAAATGAGGAACTATAATATTTAATATATACGTATTCCAAAAATATAAGAAACAAAATATATTTAGCACTTTCCACTAAAAGTATTATAAACAGCTGGTGCTCTCAAACCAAAAAAAGCAAGATCAGTAAAATAAAAACAAGTGCAGCTTTTACCCCTTCCCCTCCGCCCTATAGCAGAAGTACTGCTACATGGCGGCAGGGCTGAGCAAAATCACGTATATAGCCGTTGGCGGCTACAGATGTCAATCACATGGTGATTACCTGCCGGCACCTGGTGATCACTGAGTAACACTGACAGGGGAGAGACCTGTGTGTAAACAACACAGGTCTCTGTCCTGCCAACAATAACATGCTGCTGTGTATTTCTCTGCACAGCAGAGAAATACACAGCAGCATGTTTCTCTAGTAAAACGCACACAGCACATGATGTAAAACAGCACACAGTTAACCCTTTGATCGGCCCAGATGTTAACCCCTTCCTGCCCAGTGTCATTAGCACAGTGTCAGTGCTTTTTATTAGCACTGATCGCTGTATTAGTGTTATTTGGGATGTCAGTGGCAGTTAGTTCCCCCCCAAGAGTCAGAATGTCCACCGCAGTCCTCCTATAAGTTGCTGATTGCCGGAATTACTAGTATAAAAGCTGAATAAAAATTCCAGTATATATACCGCCATTTGTAGACGTTATAACTTTCATATAAACCAATTAATTTACACTTATTGGGATTTTTTTTAGCAAAGACATGTCACAGAATACATTTTGGCCTAAATTTATGATGAAATTAGATTTTTTAAATTTTTTTTACTAGATATGTTTTATAGCAAAAAATCTAAAATATTGTTTTTTTTTTTAAAATGTCGAGTTTTTTTGTTTATAGCGCAAAAAATAAAAACTGCAGAGGCGATAAAATATCACCGAAAGAAAGCTCTATTTGGCAAAAAAAGGACATAGATTTAATTTATGTATAGCGTTATATGACCGCATAATTGTCAGTTTAAGCAATGCAGCACTGTATCGCAAAAAACGGCCTGGTCAGGAGGGAGTAAATCCTCTGGAGGGCAAGTGGTTAAATCAAATACCCAAATAAATATAGCAAATTGCACATAAATATAGAATATATTACATAACCAAATATGTGAAAAATAATTAACGCTGAACTCTGAACCCCAGTTTAAAGATATATGAGGAGCTGTCATGCCTGCCAAATGATTGTGTCCATCCATTCCTAAGAATAGTCAGATACACAGACTAGTAACCTGACTTTCTCTGCCACAATTATGCTAGGTTGCAGTTCATTTCTTTGTTAACAATGCACCCTGTCAGTTTGTTCCTTTTCAAGACATGTGCATTCAGCTAAGCTGATTGGCTCCAAGTCCTGTCCCCAGGGGCATCCCTAAGGTTGGTGTCACCCAATGCAATAACACTTGGTGACACCCTCTCTGACGATCCCCACAGGATGGATCGGATCTGGGGATTGAGCATAATGGATCAGAGTCCATCCTGCGGGGATTGTTGGCGTGCTTTACAAATTAGCTTTTCGCGGAGCAGGTACGGTGTCACCCTGTATAGGTTGCATGCCGACGATCCCCGCAGGATGGATCGGATCTGCGGATTGAGCATAATGGATCGGAGTCTGATCCATTATGCTCCCCAACCTAGTGTTTTATTTTTGATGGCACTGTAATGTAATCAAAAACAGGAACTGCAATCACACATGGCCAAATAGCAGATACTGTATACAGCTTGTATTATCAATACATGCCATTAAATTACATTATGGAAAGCATAAAGTATAAAAGTTTTGAGTTTCGTATATAACACAAATGTGCACATGCTGCATGTTGCTACTCATAGTGAATGCTGTGGGTTACTGGATATATACATAATTTACATGGAAAAAACATTAATTTCAATAGCACCCATTGTTATTTTAGTATTATGGTAAATGCCAATATCATTTGCCTAAAAGCATATATTTTGTAGATGTTAACATTTTTTTTTTTCTGGGCAAAAATATGCTGTTTGTCAGCTTTAAATTAGTTTCTTGACAAAATTTGTTTTGTCAAGCCTTGCTTATGCCTCCCAGTTATGTGCTTTATAAAACGCATAATCCGTTGGGAGATATGCAGCAGTATTGTTATGGGATAAGCACATTCCAGGTGTCAAGCCTTTAATTGTAGTCCTTGATTCCAGTTTGGGCTTTAAGAATCTTGCCTCTGGGTACAGACATAAGTGGACATAAGCAACTGACCTCTGCCTCTAAAACAACATACTTTGTTAATTCATTTTTCAAGTCTGTGAGCCTCACCCCTTAAAACATTTAAGCATTAAATAAGTGCAATAAATGGCTTTATGAGGCCTTCACATCTTAGTGAAAGCTCCTTCACCTTTTTCACATTTAAAATCACCTTAATTGTGCCCTCTGCCCAACACATTTAAAAGGTAACTGCCATTTTTTTCACCTGAATCCCCCACCCTCTTGAACAAAATGTTAAGAACAAAGAACTCAAAAGTAGACTTAACACCTCTGTTACTGCTTGATCAATGTCAGAAGTGTTTAGTCTAACAGGAACAGTTGCCTCTGCTTGGCACAGAGGGCCCCTCTTCTTGCACAGAGCATAAACATAAATGCTCAGGAAATCTAAGAATGTAAATATATCTCAAAAAAGTAAAAGGACAGCTTTTTAATCATAGTATAGCATCAAGTTAATTAAACTCCTGGGATATCTGGGATATTGATCTGGTCAGCTAAGTAGCAGAGGGGGGTTGTTAATCAGTTTCAGCTGCATTGGTGTTAATGAAATTAACAACAGGAGCACTAGATGACAATGGCAACAATAAGACGACCCCCATAACAGGAATAGTTTTACGGGTGAAGGCCACTTTTAACTACTTATCTTTTCTGACTGTTTTTCCACTAGTTTTGCATATGGCTAGGGTCAGTGTCACTACTGGTAGCATGAGGCAATACCGGTACCCTACAGAGGTTGTACAGGCAGTCCAACTCCTCTTTGAATTCAGTCCTCTGTAGGTTTATAATTTTCATTTCCATCAAATGATGGGGCATTCTTACGTTCCTATCACATGACCCAACCCATGTCAGTATAGATTTATAAATATCCAGCATTATATTTTTCCCAGTTGAGATCTGATGTGTTTTCAAAGTGTTCCTTTAATTTTTTTGAGCATATATATTACATTCAAAAAGTTTTCAGGCCCACTTCACTTTTTTCAATTGTGTTATGTTGCAGTCTGATACTACAGTTGTTTAAATTCATTTTTTTTTCTCAATCTACACTGGGTACCCCATAATGACAAAGTGAAGACAGAATGTTAGAAATGTCTGTGTATTTATTAAAAAGAAAAAAACTGAAATCTCACATGTACTTAAGTATTCAGACCTTTTACTCAGTACTTTATGTAAGCACCTTTGTTCGCAATCACAACCTTGAATCTTTTTGGGTATGACGTGACAAACTTTGCACACTTGGATTGGGGGATTTTCTGCCATTTACAGCCATTTTAAGGTCTCTCCACAGAAGTTCAATAGGGTTCAAGTTGGGGCTCTGGCTGAGCCACTCTAGGACATTAACATAGTTGCCCCTAAGCCACTCCTGTGTTGTCTTGGCTGTGTGCTTAGGACCATTGTCATTTTGGAAGGCGAACCTTTGGATCAATCTGAGGTCCTAAGTGCTGTGCAACAGATTTTCATTGAGGATATTTATGCACTTTGCTCCATTCAGCTTTCCCTCAAACCTGACCGATCTCCCAGTCCCTGCTGCTGAAAAACACCCCCCACAGCATGATGCTGCCACCACCATGCTTCATTGTTGGGATGGTGTTGCGCAGGTGATGAGTGGTGCCTGGTTTCCTCCAGACATAATGTTTATGACTGAGGCCAAACAGTTCAATCTTGGTTACATCAGACCAGAGAATCTAGTTCTTCACAGTCTAAAAGTCCTTCAGTTGCTTTTTTGCAAACTCCAAGAGGGCTTTCGTATGTTTTGCACCATCTAGCCACTCTTCCATGAAGCCCAGCTTGGTGGAGCACTGCAGTGATGGTTGTCCTTCTGGAACTTCTGTCTCAACCCCACACAGAATCTCTTGAGCTCAGTCAGAGAGACCATCAGGTTCTTGGTCACCTCTCTTACTTAGGTCCTTTTCCCCCAATTACTTAGTTTGCCTAGGTGACCAGCTCTTTGCAGAGTCCTGGTGGTGCCAAACGTCTTCCATTTGGCACAGACCACTGTACTCTTGGGATCCTTCAGTGTGGCAGAAAATGTTTCTAACCTTCCCTGGATTTGTGCCTTGCAATAATTCTGTCTCTGAGCTCTGCAGGCAGTTCCTTTTACCTCATAGCTTTTTCTGTGATACAGTATGCATTGTCAGCTTTGAGGCCTTTTTTAGAGAGGTGTTTCCTTTCTAAATCATATCCAATCAATTTATTTTACCACAGGTGGCCTCCAATCAAGGTGTAGAAACATCTCAGCAACAATTCAGTTTTTCTTTTTTCATACATTTGCAAACATTTCTAAAATTCTGTTTCACTTTCTCATTATGGGGTATTCAGTGTAGATTAATGAGGGAAAAACAATTCATTAATTAAATGCACTGACTTTAACCACTTCAATACCGGGCACTTATACCCCCTTCCTGCTCAGGCCAATGTTCAGCTTTCAGCACTGTCGCACTTTGAATGACAATTGCGCGGTCCTGCAACACTGTACCCATATGAAATTTTTATAATTTTTTTCAAATATACCTTTCTTTTGGTGGTATTTAATCACCACTGAGTTTTTTATTTTTTGCTAAATAAAACAAAAAACACCTGAAACTTTTGGAAAAAAAAAAAATGCACTTTTCTTTGTTTCTGTTATAAAATTTTACAAATAAATAAAAAAATTTTCATAAATTTAGGTCAAATTTATGATAATAATCTATTACTTTTTTATTTTTTATTACATTTTTTCTTTTGTTTACTATTTTATTTTTCAGCACACTATGACCAAAGCAATACATGTTACATAGTAACATTGAACTACTCTGGACAAGTGATCAGGATTTTTTTTTTTTTTTAACACATTATGATTGCTAATACCAATATATAATATTTCATTGATATTTGCAATCATTTTTACTGAAAGAAACAGATTCATTCAGTCTTTTGTTGTGATTAGCTGTGATTGGGTAAAGCTGATCACATGATATAGATGGGCTGTGATTGGCCCTGTCTGTATCATGTGACTGCCTTGACCAGTCACAGCTAACAACATAATTGTATACAATGAATGGCATGTCGGGAAGCCACCCATAGTATACAATTGACATTGATTGGTCACAGCGGTCACATGACACTGGCAACTGGATGGTATAGTGATATGTCATCGGCTGTGTTCCGTCGACACAGCCGGTGACAGATCGCGCCACTGCGCTGCCGTGTGAGCAGCTCGTTTTGATAGGACGTCATATGACGCCCTGACACAACGGCGAGTGTTTCACCCGGCCGTCAATCTGCTATAGGGCGGGTGGGAAGGTGTTAAAGAACTGCAGTATCAGGCTTCAACATAACAAAATTCAAAAAAGTGAAGGGGATCTGAATACTTTATGAAT